AATATGGAGGAAAACTTCAGCAAGAAAATTGAAATACTGAAAAAGAATGAAACAAATACTTAAAGATTTGAAAAACAAAACAAAACAAAACACCATGTAGAAGAATGAATTTCAGGGATGGAGGGCAGAATGGAAATAACAACACAAACAGACATATATAAGGGACATTTAAAGAGCAGAAAGGCGTGGTTTCTGAAGCTATTGGTGTCACTAGAATTCGGACAACTGCTTTGCATCAGGACAAGGACAAAGATATATGGGAGGATCTCAAAAATTGAATGGATGCCACCCAAGGCAAGGTCAAGGGCATAAAGGTTTTAACTCATTTGGAAGGTTTTGCTGAGAAGAGAATTCCAGGCTTCCTTGCTCACTCAGTTTCCCCTAAGGAAGAGCTTTCTTTGGGTTCTGCTGCCCAGGTACTCAGAGGTTACTGCAGCTGTGGTACAAGGATGTCCAGCTACCACTAAAGGTGATAGCATACTTGTTGGGTTTGCAGGAATGCATAATGCAAGAGTTATGATGTCATGTTTTCACCAGGAAGGCCTGGGAAGCCTAGCAGTGTGCGGCAGGATCAGAATCCCTGTGGGCAGCCACGGTCAATCCACGAAGCTGTGAAAGAAGGCTAAGCATGCAATCAAGATCCCCGGATATAGAAATGTCTGATGAAGAAAGCCTCAGGCAGCACATAGAGCCTACAAAAAGGACAGGCTACATGGGCTGCAGATGGCAAAGCCTTATGAGTGGAGCTACCAGAGCCTGGTCGAGCTCTCAGCTTGACTCGGAAGACAGACTTGAAGTTACAGGACTCAGCATCCTATGGGTGTTGCAGTCTTGCCTGGTCCCATCCATCCTTCCTCTACACTCATTCCTCCATGGGAAGTGGGGACACTTCCTCCCGCTTCTTCTTGTATTCCAGGGGCTTCCAGCTCAGAGTTTACCTGAGTCTCAGAGGAGACTGAATTCTGACTTTTAGACAGTGTTGGTGTTGTTAAGACTTTGGAGCCAGGTATGGTAGCAAAAGCCTATAATCCCAGCATTTGGAGGGTGCAGACAGGAGGATGACCACAAGTTGAAGGCCAGCCTGATCGATATAGCAAGTTCCAGCCCAACCAGGGTTGCATATTGAGGCCTCATCTCAAAAAAAAAAAAAAAAAAAAAAAAACAATAAAAGCTTTCTGTAGCTTTTAGAAATGGAATAAATGCATTCTGCATTATGAGCTGACCAATGAGCTTTGGGGGGACAGGAGTATAATGTTATGGTTCAGTTGTGAACTCATCTCCATAGGCTTGTTCCTCAGAGGGTGATGAATAGTGCCTTCCTAACTGGGCACTATGTGAGGAGGAGGAGGTGCAAAGTCTGAGGGGTCAGGCAAAGCAGGAGGAAGACAGTCATCAAGGCTGGCCCTGGCCTTCCTCTGTTTCCAATCCTGTGTGAAGAGAATGGTTCCCCCACCTGCTGCTGTCTGCACGCTGCTTCTGCTAATCACAGGTCAAGAGTCAACAGTGCAGACAACTATAGACCTAAATATTCTTCACACTTCATGCTGTTTCTGTCAGGCAGTCTGTTATAAGAGCTGAGTAACTCCTCAATACAGTGAGGGAGATAAGCCCAGCAGGTCCATCTGCCTCCACGCAGTTTTGTGGGACCAACATTACATATTTAGATAATGTAGCAGGTATCCCACATGTGTGAAATACCATGTAGTTTCCCCAAGGGATAATAATACAGAGCTAGGCAAAAAGAGGAGAGAAAGGAGTTGGGAGAAGGCTGAGCAACTAAGAGCCTCGCTGCTCTTCTGAGGACCCAGCTTCAATTGCCAGCACCCACATGGCAGCTCACAACCATTTGTAACTCTAGTTTCATGGGATCTGACACCATCTTCTGGACTCCTTGGGCACTAGGCATGCCCATAGTGCACACACATATATGCAAGCAAAACACCCATGCACAATTAAAAAAAAATTAAGGGGAGAAAAAACAGGAACCAATCAATGTGAACGCTGGAGACAAGAGAAAGCGCTTGGAGAACTGAAGGTTCAGAACGGCAGAATATAGGGAATAAGAAAGGCTGTGGGAAGAAAAGATGCTGGAGACGTTAGCCTCTGCCAAGACGGAGACAGTAATATGGCAATTCTGAGTGAACAGACTGTGGAGTCAGGAAGTCTGATTACCTTGTCTCCTAGGTGGGTGACCCTGGACAAATTAGCATCTCTAAATCATAGTTGACTCATCTGTAAAACTACCAAAATGTACCTAACTCCCAGGGTTATTCTGAGGATTAAGTGAAATAACCCACAAGGATCACTTAGCCCAAGCTGGGCTCACACTGAGCACACGGTAAACACAATGCTCAGGGCAGTGCGGAGGAGTTTTGACCATATTTTTAAAGTAATTTGAAACATGATGAGGGTTAAGGAGAATTTCAGCATCGATCTTGTGCTTTTAAAAGCATCATCTGGTAAGCTATCAGTTCTGCCGCTGGACCACTTTTGTGGCTTTGTCTGGGATGTCATTAAGAACCTTAGCCCCTACTCAGCCTCCCTGTCTCTCAGAACTGCACAAGTTTATTTCCTGCATTAAATCCCTTTACACAAAAAATAAAGTGATGTCCATTTCTTAAAGCTGTTCCTCAGCTGATTGATACAGAGATTATTGAAGTATTTCAGACAATTCACTGGCCTAAATTAGCATGCTGTCATGGGGGAATGAATAGAAGAAAAGATATTTAAGGGAAATTTAAGAAAATGAATCAGAAGGTCTCAGAGATTGTTTGAATCCAAGGTTGGGAATGAATAACACCTGACTCATAAATTATTGACTTGAGGAACGATGTGGGTGGCAGTGCCACTTCTTAAGATGATCAAGATCGAAGCAGGAGCGGTTTGGGTAGAAAACCTCACATTTAATTCTCACCCCTCTATTCAAGACATACTTAAGCTATGTATATCTGGAGCTATGTCAAAGGCTGTTGAATATGTGAGCCTAATGTTCCGAAGAAAGGCCTGGGCTGGGTATTTGGAATTCCAGTGACTAAAGTTTTGGAAATGCAGAAGGTTGTTTGGGGCATGTGCAGAATGGGGCAGAGGGAGGCCATACTAATCTCTGAAAGACACCAATAAATAGACGTTGTGGAGCTGTCTGAGACAATGATGGGCTGAACTAGTTTTCTTGTCTTTATGACAGTATACTTGAGAAAAAGAAGTTAAAAAGTTTAAAGGTCTGTTCGGCTCCTAGTTTTCTAGGGTTCCAGCCATTATGGTGGGGGAGGTGTGGGAGGCAGAAAGCAAGTAGAGGATGCATGTACTAGAGAGGCTCTTCAGTTTCCCAGCAGACAGCCAGGTTGAGGTGATGGTACCACCTACTCAGCAAGGGCCTTTCTCCATAGTTCATCCTCTCTGGAAAAGGCCCCACAACATGCCCATCAGTGTGCTGTGCCTTAATAGTCTCCCAAGTGCTTCTCAATACCAAACCAGCAGACTACAGAGATTTACCATCTCTGTGTTTCTGGATGAAAAAACTGGAAAGGAAGCCAAAAGGAACAGCTAGACAAAGAACATACCAAGATGAAGAAGCCAAGGAAACCAAGTGGGTTGCCATTTGAAAGATGTCCGTCAGATCCAACAACAGGGAGGTCAGAGGCAGAGCCTCAGGGGAAAAAGCCAGATTGGAGTGGGCTGAGAAAAGAGTAGGAGGTGGGAAAATCGAGGAGGAACATGCAAACACCACCACCAGAGCAGCATTCACCAGCTCATATGCCAGAAAACTCAAAATAACAATGGCAGGCACATGTTTACAGGGTTTCCACCTAGCTGAATTTCAGTCCTTTCCAAATCTAACCTCATGATAAAAGTCTTTTATGTTCTGTGTATAAAGGGAAGTGTAAGCACAAAGAAACTATTTTAAAACTCCAGCAACTGAACGGTGAAGTTCAAGAAGAGGAAGGAGAGGCTGAAAGTTTATTTTTCCGATGGGTGAAACCTGAGCATATGTCAGCCCTTATGAGAAAGGGCCGAGAAACACTTATTGATTATGCAAAGTTCCTGGGAAGCCAGAGCAGCATGGGGCCTGGAGCGTAGGAGAAAGTACTGGCTGAGACAGGGACATTCGCCTATTTGGAGTCAAGGATACACAATACATGAAGAAGCAAGAGACCTGACATTTAAGAACATGGAAAAAGTTTGAAAACAAGAGGAACGTGAACACAATGGTGAAACGAAGTTCTCTGGAAAGTTGAGAATGGACTGTTAGGTTCTAGTAGTACCAAGGATGCTCATTTCTGAAAATTCAATAACTGAGTCTGCTGAACCATGTTGACAATAGGCAAATTAACAAGAGAAAACAAATACAAATTATTAACATGTAAATACCAGGGAGTCACGTGAAGTGTGAGACTCAAAGAACAGCCAGATGGCTGCTGCTCACACACCCCTTTCATGGGGGAGGGGGAGGGGAGCTGTAGGCAGCATTAGAGGAAGAGTAAATGACTTTCAGGGAAGATAAAAAATCCTGACAATGCTGTTTGATTTTCACTGTCTGCTGCTGGCCAAACTTCTCTGGTTAAGGCAGATCCAAAGAGAGAGTTCACAGCCAACAATCCATCCCCTCTAGAGGAATTTCCCTTCTCCTGATAAGCAAAACCTACAGAAATCCTCCTCCAACCATGTTCTTGAGAGAAGGGTCTTGAGGTGGGAGGTGGGAAATGGTCAGAGAGATGGTGGAGTCACGTCTTTAGTTCAGCACTCAGCTTGCCGTGGTTCCATGATTTTGGGTTGCCTTTTCTATACCCACAAGGTTACTTGTCTGATTTCAGACCACACGCAGTCATGGAAGAAGCAGGTGGTCAGATTCAAATGGGCTCAGATCTGTGGGTGCTTTTGAAGGACAGGCAGAGAGGAATGTAGAGACACTGGATTCTACTTTGGGGTCCTGGGTGACATAGGGAGAGAAGTGAGGAGAGAAATGGAGAGGAAGAGAAAGCACAAGAGTCAAAGACCAGAGATCGCCATAAAGCAGGATAATTATTGTGGTGGGAGTGTTGGTGCACAGTGGTTAAGCAAATCCACTTTGAAGACAAAATTCCAGCTTCAGACAGAGCTCTCGAGCCCACTGATGCAAAAGGGTGGCCCTAAAAAAAATATGGCAAATTTAAGCCAAATACCAAGTCTATCCGTGACAGAGGTTTGAAATATTTAAGAAACTGGGGTTGGGCAGGGGCGACCAAAAGACACAGGGCTTGAGTGGTGCAGAGCTGGAGAAGGCTTCCCACCCAAGCTTTTGGCTCCTGGCAGGATTTAGTCACTTTCCTAGTTTGGTTTCTATTGCTTGACAAACACACCACAATCAAAAGCAACTTTGAGGGCGGGGCTTATTTCGTCTTCAGTTAATAGTTCACCATGAAGGGAAGTCAGGGCTGGAGCTCCAGGCAGGAACCTGGAGGCAGTGACTTAAACAGAAACATAGAGGAACATCATTCGTAGCCTCACTCCCCATGGCTTGCTTAGCGTGCTTTCTTATATACTCAAAACCACCGGACCACAGCGGGATTGCCTAAAGGGTAGTCTGATGGGAACATTTTCTCAGTCCAGGTTCCCTCTTCCCAGATGACTCTAGCCTCTATCAAACTGACACACAAAACAAAACACCAACACGCTCACCAAGGCAACTTTCTGGTCCCAGGAAAGCTAGTCCTCAGATCAGATCCAGTTCAGGTCCTTTGGATCCTGTGTCCAAAGTCCATGGTGTCTTCACAGCAGGGCCCTACTCCCACTTCTGTGAGACAACCAAGGACAACAGCAATAGTCAATAATATTTTGGGAGTCTCTTTGACTCCCCCCACCCACAACAACTCTACAGCGAGCTTGCCATGCTTGGTGTCGGGGTTTTGTCAGCTAACCTAGGGCTCTTGTGGGAACAGTGTCAGCCCAGGTGGGAATATTTCATCTAAACTATGTGTGTTAAGTATACACAGACTTGTGCCATATGTAATCTTCCATAAGGAAATATTAATATAATTTCTTATGGCTTTTCCAGACATCCTTATTGCTAGTTTACACTCATCTCTCCCTCTCCTTCTGCACTGACCTCTCCCCGCTTCCTAATTAACCTCCCCTTATTTTCTAACTTCATATCACCTGTACCATGTCATTCTCCTCTCTCGTGCCCTCCACATAGTCCCTTTTTATTTTTCTGGTTCTACAGTTGCTCCAGGCTATGTACTTACATCTAGAGATTTAGAGTTAAGAGCCACAGATAAGAGAGAACATGAAGTATTTGTCTTTCTGGGTCCAAGTTACCTCACTCTGTTTAAGCTTTATACTTCCATTTTACAACATTATTTTTGTTTACAGCAGAATAGTATTCCATTACATACATACATACACACACACACACACACACATATATATATACACATACATATACATATATATGTATATAGTGGATATTCAACAGTGGATGAGGTTTCCTACATCCTCTCCAGCATTTGTTGCTGGTTGTTTGTTGGTCTCTGCCATTCTGACTGAGGTAAGATGAAATCTCAAAGTTGTTTTGATTTTTATATCCCTAATTGTTAGGGATATAAATTTTTTTTTGTGGTGTTTCTTAGTCACTTTTATTTCTTCTTTTGAGAACTCTCTATTCAGATCAGGAGCCTGTTTCTTGTTGTTGTTTGTTTTAATGAGTTTAATGTGATCTTCTGTTTCTTGGTATTTTAGTTCTTTGTACATTCTGGATACTAATCTTCTGTCAGATGTATACCTGGCAAATATTTTCTCCTATTCTGTGGGCTTCCTCTTCACTCTATTGATTAGTTCTTTAGCTGGGCAGACACTTTTTGGTTTTAGTTTTATGAGACTCCATTTGTCAATTGTTGTCCTTAATTCCTATGCAAATGTAGTCTATCGGGAAAGCTTCACCTACATCATACAGGCACTGCCCATGCTTTCTTCTAGCAGGTTCAGTGTTTGAGGTCTCACCTCTGGGTCTTTGAGTTAGTTTTTCTCCACAATCCTCACTGGTCCCAACTTTTAATCAGGGTTTCCATTTTTACAGGTCATAGGAGTAATCTTCTAACTCCACTTTGGAGTTTTCCCTTGAGGAACAGAAATTTCAGCTGTGAGTTGCATTTAAAAGAATGAGTCACAGGGCTTGGTCCAAAGCAGCAGCTCAGCTTGCGTTTTTTGGACAGTGTGTCCTCAGAGTCAAAGACTCTCAGGCTGTGTTCTCAGGACTTACGTCACACGTGCCTTGTGTTCCCAGCCTAGAGCCTGTGCTCTCTGCATCTCTGCCCAAGTAGCGCCACTTTAAGCAGCTGTCAGTGGGAGTTAGACTCATTGGGGAGTTAATCTGATACAGAAGGCCATGTCCTCAGGAGTTTGGGAGAGCACTAAAACCATACCCCACCCAGTATGGAAAAAGAGCACAGCCCAGTGGTTCCACCTGATCTGGTCTGACTTGCTCCCCAACTGAGTTTCCAACTTTTCAAGCATATTCTTCTGGTGTAAAATGGAACCAGTGGTACTATTTTCTTAATGAGTTTTGGTAAGAAAATGAAGCATTAAGCCCTTATTGCAGATTCTGGCACTTAGAAACTCAGTGAAAGTTGCTCACTGGTGTCTGTACAGCAGCTACCCAGCTCCCTTTGTAATTAGTGAGAGTCACAGAAGAGCTGAGCTTGAGTCCAGATGCGTTCAAACTCAGGCTTCTTTGATGTGGTTTGTGTGATCTTGACAAATTACATTTTAGAATCTTGCTTTCCTCACCTGTAAAAGGGACATAAAAGGCGTTTTATAAGAATCAAATGAGATGATGTCCACAGGAACGTGATAGCTTGTCCTATGCCATTTCTGTTTTCAAACATAGCAATGTTTGCCTTGTTGAAGGAACTGGTAACTGGAATTTGAGACTAAATCTAAAGCCTTTTGATTAAAAAGCCAAGACTTTTCCAAGATTGAGAGTAGGCAGAGGACAAAGAGTTTGTTACTGTGTATTTGGAGTTTTGGGGGGAAATCAATATTGCTACAATATGGTGACTACAGCTGTCTACAGAAGCCTTCAGAGTCTACCCAGCCCTTTGGCTGAGGTGCTTAACCAACTGCTCGGGAGAAACCCATCACAGAGGAAAAGTTTCTTTTGGCTTGCAGTTTCAGATGACCCAATCCATGATCACTTGGCTCCATCACTTTAGGACCACGGGGACCATGCCAAAGCAAACCATCACTGCAGGGAGCATTTGGTAAAGCTGTTCAATGTCGGGAAGCAGAGAGAGAAAAAGGAAGTGTCCGTGGACAAAGTACGTCATTTAAAGGCACACATCCCCAAGACCTACTTCCTCCAGCTAGATTGTAACTCCTTACATTTCCACCATCTCCCAACAGGTCATTCAGCTAAGAATCATCAACGAATGAGGTCTCACTATCAGATCAATCCTCCTGTAATTCTACCCAAGAACATTGCCTGCTGGGGACATTCCAGATTCAAACTACAGCACATTCTGATAGTACACAATTCAAAGGTGTACCACACAAACACTAACCAAGAGCTGCTGGCTCCACTGTGCAAAAAAAAGGCAGTTCACATCCATTAAAAAGAAGATAACATGATTTCACAAAGCGGAGAAAGACTTCCAGCAAAGGCACCAAGGCACAAAGCACTAAACACCATAACTGGCAGGGAAATCTTCCCTCTCACATGGTCGGTGTGCTACAGGCGTGGCCACCCTCAGTGGAGAGACCATGGAAATTTCTGATGCAGAGGGACAATCTAATTGAATTTGACCCCAGAACATAAGGGTGGAGGATACTTTCTCTAGAGCCATATCTGTTCATTTCTTTTTGTTAGCCCGGGTTGCCCCTCAAAGACAGAATCCCCATAAAAGAAATGTCATATTTCAGAAATGAAATCTTACTCTAGATCCCCTGGTAGGAATTCTCCTGTTTGAAGCCTGTGATTGTTTCTTTTTCCTTCAGCCAGAATTCAGCTGTCACTCAGACTGTCCACGCATGCTGCATGTCGCTTTCTGCACTCCACCACAGCGATGCTTCGCTCATCAAAACCTGAGTCTCTGACTGCTAGGGACATTTGTTTTGCTAAAAGTATTTTCCTGTCAGCATTTTATCAAGCAATCGCCATTCTCCTTTTATCATTTGATGAGAAAAGGCTAAACATTACATTCTCTGAAGTGAGACACACGTGTCAGTGTTTGATGTGGACCCAGCAAAGGCGTGTCTACCTTCACAATCAAAGGTTTCTCTCTTTCTTTACACGATCATATTTTTTATTACAAGTATTTGTTAATGAACATGATGAGAGTCCCTGGAGATTTTCTGTAACACCAGCCATATGGAACTGTAATTTCAAAGTTCCTTTGATCTTGCGCAGCCTTACACTGTTGGAATAATGTCAGCATTGCCTCTTAGTTTCTGAAGATCTCTTCTCCTCTCAGTAGTCTTACTTTGCACTCAGCTAGTGAATCTTTCTGGATGTTTATTACTAGTATTAAATCTCTGACTTAAAGGAAGCTGTTCAGCATAATTTATTTTGTTGCCTCCAGTTTTTATGATATGGTTGTAAAATTGATTCTCAACTGTCAAGAACTACAGAGTGAACCCCATGAATCAACAAGAAAAAGGCGAGATTTTAAAAAGCATCATGAATTCCTTAGGGTCCTGACTAATCAAAACATCTCACACTGTCCTAGAGTACATTGGCTCATTTTTCTCCTCTTCATCAAAGCAGCTTCATCAGAATGGAGTTGAAAATAAGATGCCTAAAGAGGTTTAGAATAAAGAATACTGTTGATAATAGCAAGATCTGGAAACAATTCAAGTATTTACCTCAGAGGAAAGGTTAAACAAATATGGCGGCCCAGTCTGTGAATGTGCAGTCACAAGAGAAACAGCAGCTGACCAGAAGCACCAAAGAGAAGAAAGAATAACAAATACATTTGGTCTTTATCCTCTGTCCTGCCACAGAGCTCCTAAGTCCTTGGAATTCCTGAATATTAACAATGTCTTTTGTTTTCTGTAAAGAGTCCCTAATGCTCATGCTTGTGTTTATGCTAATGAGATGTATTTGACTGAGGACCTTAGATAGCCTCAGGAGGAGTACCTCCATCTCCCAGAAGGAGAGAGGGATGCTGGAGAGTGAAGTCTGTAAACACTTGAACAATTAGACTTAATGAGCCCAGAGGGAGCATAGAAGCTCCAAACCCCCGACTGTCTCCATGTACTTTGTCCCAGGATATTCCTGGTGTTATCCTAAGTGACTTCCTGCATCCTTGAAGCCATTCCAGCAAATTATCAAACCTAAGGAGGATGCTGGGAACCCCTGGCTTGAAGCTGATTAGTAGGAATTTCAGGAGGCCCAGACTGATTATTGGAATCTGGGTGGGGGCAGTCTTGTCCAGTTGAGCCCTGATGTCAGAACTGTGAACAGTGAACCACTTTCTTTTGAGGACAGAGGAATTTTTTATTGGCAAAAGTATACATAATATACAAAGAAAAAACAGCACATGTGAATGAGTTCTCATGTAATAAACAACTAAATACAAATATTGGGAAACTTATCACATCTTCATGTTACCTGGGTCTCTGGCCAAATCCCAACACATTAGATACAGCCACTTACCTGCACTGGAATCTACTTCAGGGAAGGGAGAAATGATGGTGAAATGATAAATGAATTTGTTCTTTATTTGGCCCAAATTAAAAAGGCTGCAAGTCTGCCTTCCCCAAACCCATAGGATTATTTGTATTAAACAGGATAAGAACAAAAGTGGAGAGGTCAGAGACAAGGATACAGCAGGTTATGTATGGCCACCAGTGAGATTTTGGGGTTCTTCTGGCATCCTCTTGGGCCAGGGCTTTGGGGGTGTGGTCATTTCTATTCCGATTCTATACTCACCATGAGATGATACCACATATGCAGCCTAAGAAAGCTACCTCCCCTACCCCAAGAATATAGTTTCAGAAGAGACTCAAAAAAAGTGGTAACTCTATGACATTTTTCACCTTGGGCAGAAGAGGCGGCTGAAGACATATTTTTAAGCATAAGTAAATCAGTGGTTTCTTGGCAGTTTGTATGGGGTCTGGGATTCCAGAAGGGCTTACCTTATCAGCATAGCAGACAGGTCATTGCTTTCCAGCATCTCCGTGAGTGCCTAATCAGAAACACAGTTCTGAAAGGACTGTGGTTTGCCCTCGCCCTGTGACATGCCCTTCACCTATGTACAGTCTCTCCAGCAAGAGGCACTTGGGCTCTGTGTGGGTTCTGCTTGATCACTAAAAGACATCAAACAACTTCCATAAATGACAGGTCTCAGGAATCCAGGCCTAGATATTTGGGGCCACACTGGGGCTGAGTACGTTCCAGTCTTCTAGTTCATTGGTCTTCTTCAGAGGAGGGAGGTTGCGTTACAGCCTGGAATCCATCCTTTCATCTGCTCACCCAGCAAATACTTTTTGATCCCTGCCTATACCAAGTGTTATGTTCATGTTGTCATGGGAAAGAAAGTAACAGCTTACAAAATATCTCACAACTTATCAAACTGTTATGAGTAAGTAGTATCTTAGGAAAATATTCTATTCCATTAAGAAATTCTAATTTAGGGGGCTGGAGAGATGGCTCAGTGGTTAAAAGCACTTGTTACTTACAGAAGACCCACGTTTGATTCCCAGAATCAACATAGTACCTTACAACCACCCCTAATTCCACTTCCAGGATATCCAATACCCTCTTCTGATACCCCAAGGCACCAGGCATGCATGAAGTGTATATACATACATATAAACAAATACTCAATATACATAAAACATAAAATAAAATATTTTGTCTAATTTAATATCTGATGATTCATTAACTTGGCTAACATGGTAAGACATTATCTTTACCTTTAAGAGACTGAAGAATCAGAGAGCTATATTGAAGAATAGAAGATTCACCTTCCTAGCCAACTGTAATTAAGTAGTATGAAAGACCAGAACCTGGAGGTACATGCTCAAAGAATTCCAGCTCGGGGGCTTTAAACAAATCACTGGATTTGGGATTCTCTAAGCTTGTTTCTTCCTCTGCAAAGTAAGGAAGCCATATGCCTTGTAAGATTGTTAAATTTGGAGAAAATTCACATAAAGCTCAGTGCAGGAGCTGGCATATAGAAGCCCTCAAAAAGAGTAGGTCTGTTGGGGAATATTATTTTAAGGTGTGTTACTTTTGTTTATGTTGCATTTGTTTAACTCTGTGAGGCTGTGTTACTGTGCCTGTCTAAAACACCTGATGGTCTAATAAAGAGCTGAAGTGCCAATAGCAAGACAGGAAAAAGGATAGGTGGGGCTGGCAGGCAGAGAGAAGAAATAGAAGAAGAAACTTGGGAGGGTAGGTAGAAGGAACGCAAGAGGAAGGAGGAGGACATAAGGGGCCAGCCACCCAGCTACACAGCAAGCCATGGAGTAAGAAACGATGAAAGATATAGAAAGGTATACAGAAATAGAGAAAGGTAAAAGCTAAAGTTAAGTAAAGCTGGTTAGCAACAAGCCAAGCTAAGGCCGGACATTTATAATTAAGAATGAGCCTCTGTGAGTGATTTATTTGGGAGCTGGGTGGTGGGCCCCCCTAAAGAGCAAAACCAAACAACAACATAGTGTAGTGGGTAGCCATTCCAGCTTTGATCTGGAAGTTCCAACCCCCATTGAGACTTTGGCAACTGTCACGCCTACAAGGCGGGGCCAAGGGAGGCACCTGGGGACCCGAGATCTGGATTGGTGGG